AAGCAACTTTCGAGTTTGAAAGAAAAGGCAATAAATAAAAATAAATATTGAAGGCTACAATGAAATTAGATATACAATTTTTGGAAAAACACAAGATTTCAATTGCTTTAAAATTAATTTAAGAAATTAATTTTAAAACTATTTTGGAATAGAAGTAAAAAATATATATATAAATAAATTTCAGTTAACGGTTATCAGACATAAACATTTTAAGAAACGAAACCAATATCATAATCTCCTGCGACCCTGAAAAGTGATATTTCATAAAAGAATCAAATAAAAAATCATATACATTTACAAGTACTTGCACAGGATTTTACAAGGGAAGCTAATCTATATGAATAAACACTTTTGTGTTTTGATTACTAATCAACGACATATTCACGAATAGCTAGAAAATAACACAGTGCACATCCGAATATCAACTATTGATATCGTACCGTCAATGATGCAGAGGTCGTGAATCGGAGAACTTGCATTTGCGTTGCAACTTGCAGTTATGTTGCATGCTGCAATAGTAGAAAATATTTGACTGTTTGAGCGTATAGATATCTTCATTCTAAGATTATTCCACTAGAGATATATGAAGCAAGTTCTTTCCCGTAGCGTGAGTTTTATTATGAAGTTTAAGAAAACCTCAATCTTCTTTATTATGGAGTATAAAAATTGCAGTAGTCTTCTTCATTATGAATTTTAACAAATCCCTGTTTTTAATTATAATTACCTATGAAAATAACAATCATTTTAATAAAGATATACAACTTTCTAAGTGTTTATATTTAGAGACAATGTTCTACTCTCGTCTCGTTTCCTTTTAATTTTTCAGTGGAAAAGTTTTATGCAGAGAAATTTTCTAAGAGCTATAAATCTTCTCCATCATATATACATACATCACGTAATACGAAACTCAATCCATAAACTGTACACGAAGAATTAACAGACGTTCGAGAGGTTTACCGAAACAATTAAAATCCACGTAAATCAGGAAACATGTATATGAACATGTAAATATCTATGAATCTATAATGTCAATTGCAACAAAATTCAACGTGAAATATATAAACGTATAGTGCCAAAAAATTTGATTAATTTTTACTTTGAAGTTTTATTAATAAGTATTGCGATGAAATCAGACTATCGTGATTCTATCGATAAAATTTGAAACAAAAGATCTGAAAATATAAAAGTTTTCTATGGTAATTTATCTTATCATGCATGTGATTTATCTTTAGCGTTGCTACAAAATGGAAAAATCCGCGTAATTTTAAAATTGCGTTCAACTTCGTTGCGACAACTTTCAAACTCGCGGAACTCGGAAGAAAATTATTTGACATGTTTCGTGACTAACTGTGGATGAATTTTGAAAGAAACGAATCCTTTGTACTTGAAGATGACTGGAAAGAGTAGCGTTCTGAGTTTCGTTGGTCCGGTTAAAAATCGAGGCGACAGCAAGAGGACGGAGATTATCTCACAAATATTTGAGAGCAATTAGATGTTTGCTCGTCTGTTACCGTGTTTACATTGTTCACCGTATCTAGACCGCAGAGACGTGTTTATGTATAGTCGAGTGCGATGTGCGCCGAGTTCTACACGATTCTTTCTTAAAAGTCTTTCTCATTTAACACTAATTCAAGTAAACTATATTAAGATTATGTATATCGACAGAAATGATCTTTCGCGTATCGTGAAATAAAGTGAATTTGCTATCGTTCGATATCGTTTGATAGAGGAGCGACATTATATGAATTTTCAGTTTCGAGATATCTACGAAAATAAGCTCTAAACGTGAATTTATCAATCATTCTGAGAATTGTTACTCATCTAACGAACCAATAATATAAGTCATATATATATATACCAATAACGGGATACTTTATCGTAATTCGTCAACTTTGGAACAAATCTGATAATGCACATGGAAACTGCAAGATATTTAGGATATATTTGACAATGATCGCAAAAGTATTTAAACAATCCATTATATTAATAAGTTTGAATATTCAATGGGACCATCTCGTATGTTTAAAACGGTTGTGTTGTGTATCAATTTTTGCATTGAACATATGCTTGCAGTAAATCTCTCCTAGTTTATACAGTTTTATATTACATTTTCAGATTGATTTCAAAGGTCAATACATATAATAATGGCAGTCGTAACTCATTGCAATACTGTGTAATGAAATTGCAAAGTGTGTTATGAAATACATACAATATGAACATACAAATTTTTTATGTTAAACGTTCAAATACTTTCATAAGACACTGTATGTATCACTGTAGAAAGATATAATGTATTATATTTCACCAAGTATATAAATATCATATCTGTTGACATAGAGACCCAACGTCCTAGGTTGTCACAGTTTGTCGTATTATTGTATTCGTAACTCGATTTTTTGTTACAGGCTATGTAGGTAATTATTTAAATAGGCATCTATCAAGAAAATATAAATGATTTTTCTATCGATTCGTACATCAATAAAATCTTACGCTTTGCGTTCTTCGATTAGCTATTAATTAACGCTACTTTTGAGCGGTTTCAATTTTAAAGAACAATTGTTATAATTACGATTTTTATTTAATTAATAATTCACCAATAAATTTGATAAATTTCTTGCATTTCCTAATAGGTCGATTTTGAATATGTCAACTGATTTTAATTTATTTTAAATGATACGTATAGGTAAAGTATTATTTGCCAGATATATAAATAATAGAATATTTTATGAAACTATGATTATATTTTGAACACAATATTTATTGTGTAGCATAAAATAAAATACAATAAATTATAGTAGGAGGTAGCAAATTATATAATCTATATTCGATATTATTATATCATTGTTAAGGGGTAAACGAATATAATCATGTAGAAATGAAAAAAGATATAATCGAAGCTCCATTAACGCGGGAACCTTATCTGTATTAACGAGAAACGTTTTAATTCGTCTCGTGCATCGCGTCAGTTATCGTTTTCTTTTCAATACCAGCAATTAGAATACTGTTTGAAGCAATTTGACTTTAAATCGTGAGACGTAAACTAACAAGATCGTTTTAAAAAACTGAAATGCGTTGCATGAATTTATCAATGCATTTCCAGATACCCTTGCACAATAATTTTCCAAACAGATTGTATCAGCGAAACCATTTACAACTATAAAATTGTTCTTTATAATTCATAAACTTCAATTCCGCAAACAATATTTTGTAATTTGTGAAGAATGTCTTGATGTACAGATCGCAAAATTGCACTGTTTTAACGTTGCTCAGAAACGTCTTTGTAATGTCGTTTGCGTATTTGTATTAACGTAAATTGCAAATTTACGATTTTATGTAAAATAGGGCAATTAATTTGCGATTTGTTTAATTTGTAAAATTACGCTTATAAATCTTTCCTTCATTAGCAAACTCATTAGCAACAAGTATTTTTACTACTTTACTATATAGAAATTTTATTACTGAGTTTACTACATTATTATGAAAAAATTTATTAACGCTGCATATATATATATACACATATTTATTAAGATTTATTATAGTATAATAAGAAACTTACTACATTTATCATAATTCTACAAAAAACAATTTACTAATCACTTGTAACTTGTAAGATTCCGCTAATACCTAGATTAATACAAAGTAAATTGTGCAAGAGAGCCGTAATCGAAATTTGTTCATCATTTTCTTCCTATTATTCGTTAAATTTCATTCGAGGTACGATTCTTACGTTCGTAAAGTATTATCAGTAACAATAACACGATGTCGCATAAATATCGCGTTATCTACTTTTTTCTTGTATAATGGTACCTACATCGATTAGCCTTACAAGTTTAATAATTATCGTTTTTCGTGTTCATTATTAGCGAATGAAGTGACTCGCGTGTCTCTGCTCATTTTGTTTAATTACTTCGTCGTAATTTGTTGACCAATGTTTGATCTTTCGCGACATGGTACGATATTTTATGTCTGTATATCTAACTTTGGACAGTCTCAGTGTCAAATGTGGTTAATTTGATTCGACTTTTAAATAACGTCTTTTCTTTCAAAAATAATAAATTTCGAGATAGAACGATGTCTGAATATTAATACGAGTACTTGATTGTAGATGGAAGATTTGTATAGGAATCGTTTGCACTGCGAAGGGTTAATAAACGATATAAAGACAAAGAAAGTGAAGATCAACTTCTCCAGACTAAACTTTCCATTTAATTATTCTTAAGCCAAAAATGACTACCATTCTCGGATTTTGATCAGAGCGTTGCGTAAACAGTACCGTGTCCGAAAAATTTTCATGCATGCACGAAATTGAACAAATCAATTATTAATACATTCGTGATCAGTAATTTTATACGAATTATAACGTAGGAAATCAAAACACTCTGCAATTCAGAGAAAGAATTTGAAAATTCCGAGGAATAGAAATACGTATTATATTTTGAACGTTATTTTATACGACCAAATAGGCGCAACGAACGTTGAATATTAAATGGAAATTCTCTGTTACTTCAATTAATGAACCAAATCTTCTTTTTACATATCCTACCAATTTTATAATCACCCGACACCAAAAACTAACAAGTATATGCCTACCAATAATATACACTAACAAAATATACCAATGTATATCCAATAGGGGAAACATGTACAAAACCATATAGCAAGACAAAACCATATATTCATACTCGTCTCTGTAGTTAATTAAAAAAATCCGATGTAAATTAAAAATAAAAAGGATAAATAAAATAATTAAAGAAATAAAAAATAGAATTTTGATTTACACAATTTGTTTCATAAAACGAAAAATTATCCAGAACCTTTAATATACAGTTTTGTGCGGATTTCCCCCAAATACGAGAAATAAATCGTATCCATAAATGAAAATAAAATGAACTTGTAAATAAAATAAAGTAACTAAAGAAAATAAGTAAAGCAAGAAAGTAGAGCATATAAGTAATAAAATAAAGTAGATAAGTAAAGCAATAAAATAAAATAAGACTAACCAGGATTGGGGTGAGACTGGTAGGAAGTCTTCTTCATCCACTCGTAGGGACTTCTGATCTGCGCGGGTCTCATCGATGTCGCGCTATTAATACTGTTCGCACTATTACTAGTGCTAGGCGGTGTAATATTTTTACTATTCGTAACGTTACTGCTGCCGTTATTCCTCGGTGGAGTACACGAAGTCTCTGGATTACTAACTTCGCTCCCGCTAGCAGTAATAGGAGGGCTTGTTTCTTCAGTTATAAGAGGACCACTTGCTTCATTACCCCAATCATTTAATCCTGCCAGCTGAGCTTGTTGATACTGGTGATACTGATACTGATGAATATGTGAATACGGGTAAGCGTGAGGATGCGGCCAATTAGGAATCATCTCTGCCGGATCCAAATATTGTTGTGGTCCAGGTGATTGATAATGGACATGTGAATATCCATGTGGATGTGTACGCGCATGAGCAAGTGTTTGTGGAAGTGTATGTGGAAGTGTATGTGAAAATCCTTGTGAAAGTGTTTGTGGATGTGCATGTGCAAGTGTTTGTGGATGTGCATGTGCAAGTGTTTGCGGATGTGCATGTGCAAGTGTTTGTGGATGTGCAAGTGTTTGTGGATGTGCATGTGAAAGTGTTTGTGGATGTGCATGTGAAAGTGTTTGTGGAAGTGTATGTGAAAGTGTTTGTGGAAGTGCATGTGAAAGTGTTTGTGGAAGTGCATGTGAAAGTGTTTGTGGAAGTGCATGTGAAAGTGTTTGTGGAAGTGCATGTGAAAGTGTTTGTGGAAGTGCATGTGAAAGTGTTTGTGGAAGTGCATGTGAAAGTGTTTGTGGAAGTGCATGTGAAAGTGTTTGTGGAAGTGCATGTGAAAGTGTTTGTGGAAGTGCATGTGAAAGTGTTTGTGGAAGTGCATGTGAAAGTGTTTGTGGAAGTGCATGTGAAAGTGTTTGTGGAAGTGCATGTGAAAGTGTTTGTGGAAGTGCATGTGAAAGTGTTTGTGGAAGTGCATGTGAAAGTGTTTGTGGAAGTGCATGTGAAAGTGTTTGTGGAAGTGCATGTGAAAGTGTTTGTGGAAGTGCATGTGAAAGTGTTTGTGGAAGTGCATGTGAAAGTGTTTGTGGAAGTGCATGTGAAAGTGTTTGTGGAAGTGCATGTGAAAGGGTTTGTGGAAGTGCATGTGAAAGTGTTTGTGAAAGTGTTTGTGAAAGTGTTTGTGGAAGTGTATGTGAAAGTGTATGTGAAAGTGTTTGTGGAAGTGCATGCGAAAGTGTTTGTGGAAGTGCATGCGAAAGTGTTTGTGGAAGCACATGTGAAAGTGTTTGTGAAAGTGTTTGTGGAAATGTATGTGTATGTGTATTTGGATGTGAATGTGCTTGTGCTTGTACTTGTGTATGTGTTTCTGCTTGTACTTGTGTATGTGTTTGTGCTCGTGTATGTGCTTGTGCTCGTGTATGTGCTTGTGCTTGTGCTCGTGCTTGTGCTTGTACTTGTGCTTGTGCTTGTGGAAGTGTTTGTGTGTGTCTTTGTGTATATATATGCGGATGTGGATATGTATGTGGATGTCCATGTGAAGAACCACGTGAAGAACCATGTGAAGAACCATGTGAAGAACCATGTGAAGAACCATGTGAAGATCCATGTGAAGATCCATGTGGATGCTCATGTGGATAACTATACCAATATTGCTGACCTCCGTCGGCTGTGGTATTTGTTTGTTGCGGATCATGTTGTGCAGAATGATGTGCAGAATTATGTTGCGCAGAATTATGTTGTGCAGAATTATGTTGTACAGAATTATGTTGTACAGAATTATGTTGTGCAGAATTATGTTGTGCAGAATTATGTTGTGCAGAATTATGTTGTGCAGAATTATGTTGTGTAGAATTACTTAATGCAGAATTATTTGGTGCCGAATTATGTTGTACAGAATTATTTTGTGGTATTTGCTGTGGAAGTGGCTGCTGGCCAGATACTTGCTGTTGTTGGCAAAGCATCGCAAGGGAATTATAGTAAGATACCATTCCGATATTACATATGTCTCCCATTTAATTCGATTATTTTTGTACACCCTCGACAAGAGCACTTTTTTTTAGTCAATTCTTATTAATCAGTTGAGCAACAAATTTTGTACACCCTAGACTAGATTTCTTTTATCACAATTACGAGTTATTTTTAGTCAATATAAAATTTAGTTGTATGAAGCAATTATTATGATTTGTTAAATCTTATGTAACGTTAATTTATTAAAAGATTAAGTTAAATTTATCTCTTTTGTTACTTTATATCGCTAGTTTTTGTCAATAAACATAAATTAAGCTTTATAGGAACGACTTCTTGTTTTTAAAATTTGTGTCGTAGGTTAGAAACCTTCGTCACTGTGCGCTTGTCACGGATACATCTTATTAAACGAATAAGTGTGGTTATCAAACGAGCCGCCTCATAGTGTCAATAACGTTGATGTAAGTGGTCAATCTGGAATTACCAGATTTATATGTCGAAAGAATTATTTCTGTCACTGTGACGAGTTCCACAGTGAACAGAAACCAATTCTAAAAATTTTATAGCTTCCCCATTGCGAAAGTTTTGTTAGTTTGACCTAGCTCGAACTTTTTAACTGTTTAGTTGATCACTTAAATCACGCACCTTTCACATCCAGAAACATTCGAAGTTTTCTCTTCAGTTATCGAAGCAAAGTAGAGACACACGAATAAGATTTCAGTCCTGTAACTATTGAGTATAAATTCACGAATAGGCACACTTCTCTCTAACAGCAAACGCGTGCGCGATGTTCAGACAACGACGGTTTAGTAGACTGTGATCATCAAGCCTGTGACGCTGTCAAGAAATAGAGACGCCCGGGGTGGGAACTTCTCCCCACCACTGGTGCCACGCAACCAATCAACGCGTTGCGTGGTTACCGTTAGCTGTAATGGCGTCGCACGAAAGTTTCGACGGCCAGAGATATCGCTGGCAGATAAATATTGCTGGAAGGCAGCTCTCACACCCCCGCGAATGTAAACCAAACATGAAACACGCGAAATAGACAACATTTTTCGCACTTGTCGCCATTTAATAGCACTTGGACGATGTTATGGAAATTTATCTGAAGGATCTCTGTGTGTTTACGCGAGATGATGGTGGGGGACGTTTAATGAAGATCGGTGCACACGCGAGAAAGTTCAGTTTCTGGGCTTGATCGAGATTTTATCGTCGGAGAAGATGGATTATTTTAGGTTTTCGAATATAGAACGAGTTCGTGTTATGTAACCGGTCTTCGGAATCAAAATCCGTCGACACGTTTGTTAAAAATGGAGGTTTTAATAGTTTTCAGGGTTTCAAAGATACGATTTTTAAACGAAGAGTTGCTATTGAATGAATACTTAACTGAAACTTTGCTTTAACTAATAGTTACGTAGAGTATGTGTAAAAGATTGTGTGCAACTATAGGTACATAGTTGTTTACATATATATATATACATAATATAGTATATACATTTTAGTTCTACTTCAGTCCAAAACGCTATATAGTTTTGTGAACTTTCCGTTCCGTAGTATAATAATATTATTTTAAAAAGAGATAGTGTAGATCAGCGGCGACCACGAAGTCCTCACACATGCAGATTGTAATCGTATTATTCGGATAAAAATATTTATTATTAATATTATTATGTGTATTTATTTATTTATAATGGATCTCTTCCATTCAGAAAGATTATTATTTGACACATATTTGGCACATTTAGGATATAAATTTCCTGTCATGTCTTGGGAGTCTGCGACGACGATGTATTGTTTAAAGAAGGTCTGTGGTAAATAAAAAATTAAGAACCGCTGGTATACATGTTTTATGCGAATTATGGAAATAAATTGTTCCTATTGGTGTGCCCATCGTTGTATAGTACCTATAGCTATGTATTAATTTTCATTAAAAGAGTAACAGGTGATATATATATATATAAATAATCGTTTGCAATTCGATTAAATATTTAATATCTGCATAAATATAATTTAGTAAAATTGAAATGAAATTACATAGATATGTACAGCTATCGTTTAACATTTACATACGTATAATCATATTCATTGAATATAAGTGTTTATATATGTATCTTTAGATATTTTTCGTAGGAAATGAAGAGAGAGAAATGCAATGAGAAATTACATAGCTCATCGCGTTCATTGCACCAGGCCAGCAAATTCTGATACTTTATTGCGTGGTCGTAACAAAATCATACATAATTAGGAATGTATAACAATTATAAACTGCACTGCGCCGACTTCATAAATCACCCGGCCACAGAAATGATTTAAAGCCAAACTCTTAAACTTGTGTGGTTTCATAACTGTGATTAAGATCGATGATTATCGTTTATTACGTTTACATAAGGTATAATGTGAGTATTTAAAATGAGAATGGAACGATTGCATGTAATTCACGGACAATCCAACTAAATTATATAGGTACTATTTCCAAGCAATAATAATCGAGATATCCCTTGCTTATCAGCACTCTATATTTCTTTCAAGTGACTCGGAAATAGTGTTCTTTACGTTACACGCGTGTATATACACACTCCCCATTGAATTAATCTAAGCTATATACGATTCAACTGTTAGCTACTATTGAAATTTATGAGCGCAGATCGTATCTTCTTTGGAAATTGATTTAAACCAAATTATAGCACTATTATATACTTTTATTAGGTATTGTATATAGAACGTACTGACAGCGAGAGTTCATTGAAGATCTAAATTATTACAAGTGTTTTCTAAATCATCGATGAGTATGAAAAATATCGTACATATCTAACATAGCATTAAATGGCAATAAAAATATCAACGTTGATGAAATATTAAATAATAGAGATTTTAAAGAAGGAATGTTAACCTACCTAGAAATACCTAGAAACTAAAGATATCTTCATAGTATAATGATAGCAACCGGTACAAATGCACCGACAGTAACGAGTGTCACAATATTGACTAGCAACATGGCAATGTAGTCAACGCTCGACAGTCCGTTAAAATCCCTTTTCATTCTTCAATTAGATCCGCCTCGACTATCGGCACCCGTCTATCATGCTCCCTTCCGAGCGTTTCTGATGTTTCTGATGTTTGTAAATCCGTATTTTTTACCATCATCCCTTAATCTTCACCCTTGTTTCAACACATTGTAGATACGCAAAAATATCTAATTAGAATGATTGCTGAGGATAAGCTTTGTTTGTTCTTCGTTTATTTTAAATTTCTTACTTCGAAGATTTACAAACACTGTTTGTTTATAAAGAAATTTATTGTGAACCTTATACACGCTCATAGCGTCCTTTTTTCTTTGATACTCACAACTGTCTAAAGATAACGCTAAAGATATGTTTTTCATTTAAAGAACTGTATAAGTTCTTAAGGAATAATCATACACCTGTATCATTATTTAATAGTAATGATTGTGTGATTCTATTTCTTTTTGTTTCTTAGATTATTATGTTCCAAATGAGATTTATGGGATATTAAACATATTCGCGAAGAAATTTATGGTGAATTACTCGTTGGAGTTAATGGATAAACAGATAAGTAGGATAGTAGGTAAATAGTAGGTAAATATTCAAAATACTTTGTTACATTCACGCTTCGTACATTACTTCGTACATTACTGTTTGTTTACAATTACAATTTGTTGTTATTTATCTAGAACTATTACATATTTGTTTACTTATTTCCTTTTTTATTACCTAATATCTAGCTATCTGAAAAATTGACATTACGCACAAAGTAAGAACAATTAAAAATCTAGTTGGTGATGAATATATCCATCATTCATTGTAGCGAATAATAACCGGGAAAACCGGAAAATTTCTAATGATCGACTAGTTCATATTTTTGTTAGCTCGCGCGACATGACGTCGTGATGTTCTCTTCGTCACATGATCTACAGGGTGCCAGCGCGTCAAAAGATGTTTGTCGAAGTTGCCAGTGGTCAAACACTTTGTCAACTTGCTATCGCAAAATCTTGTAATGAGCATTTCAGACTTCTTAAAGCCTGCTATTTGCCACATGTTGTGATAAACACTATAATTACACGGTTAGTTTACGACTTTTGAGACGCGAAAATATTATGATATAGCGATAATGACAAATTACAGGCAAATAAATGTGTTAAAACATCAAAAATATTTTATATTCTCTCTACTTGCGAGTACTATACGTAGTTAGAAGTATAAATGTATATCGATGCTAAAGAAATCTGTAACAACACGCGCGAACACAAATTTCAATTGTTATAAAAATAATTATTACAAAATACGAAGTACCAGGATTCCGCTTAATCGCAGAATGAGAAGTAAATATACATATGTCTTCTAAAAGATATTTACTTATGAAAAATAATTAAAAAGTGGCAAGTATAAGCGAAACATAGTTAAGGATTCTTTATACCCATGTAATACGATACATACAGTTTATATATTTTCTTTAATCTTCAAGAAATTTCATAATATTTATCTAAGTTGCAGCTGAGATTAATAAAACTACACCGGTCGTAAATGTTTAATACGAAAGTTAAATATTGTTTTCATCGTTGTAAACAAGTGAAAGAGAATTTGAAGTCACTAAGAAAAGATAGGAAATGCTAAGAATTTCTAGACTCACAAATTATTTTCCCTAATGGCAATGAGCATTTAAGGACCGCTTGTTGTCTGTACCGTATTGTATAATTTTCGCTGTCAGAGATTAGGAAAATGTTTGGTCCAAGAAATAGTTTAGTCGGAGTTTAAGATAACTCAATAGGGATACACAGATGCTGGTTCAAGAAGGATGACCTTAGAACATTACCGTTCCAATCAAAAATAGGATGCGATATTGTATACAACATTGCACGGGCAGACTAAATATTCCCTTTGCCTTCTGCTTTGCATTCTTCGTCATCTGGCGTTGGCCTGATAATGCACATTATATTCACCTCCTTAAAAGTTTCGAAAGTAACTGTTTCAATAAATCATGAAATTGTGTCAGCATTGACACTTCTACTGCGTAAATGTTTGTCACGTTTCATTTATTTCACGTTTTACTACCTTAATTCGAATGTTAGTGTCTATCCGTAGTTTTAGAGATACAATTACAAATGTCTAGAGAGAAATTTATTTTATTGTTTAGAATACATTGTCGTACACTATGTACATTTAAATATTTTGCAAATTTTTGTACATGTACATAGTCTCCTTTAACATTAGTATTCCATCCCAGTGTAATTTAACAACTTTTACTTTCTACGACATCTTTTACAATTCTGTTAGTTTGTTTGCTTATTAGCTTAAAACGAGCTTAGAACCTAACTTAGAACAAAGCATATTTTCTGGCCTTTTGCCAAACTATACATACAATCGTCCTTTGTAAAAGGACCGACGTTTCGTGCGAAAACTCGAGAGAGATAGAAGCCGAGAGAAATGGAAAATTTATTATCGCCTATAAAAATGACACTTCGAGTAAGAGTAAACGTTTGATTTACTATTCAGTTGTCGCAATGAACCTTCCATTTAGGAACTTTAAATTCTCCACCTTCCAAAAACAAAAGAAATTTACAAGTAAAGACGAAGAATTTATTATTTAGAATTTTCTTCTTCCTTTAATTTATTGTACTAAATTTTTCCGTTTGACAGATGCCATTTTGAAAAAGAATTCCAACCATATCCTTGATATTTTTTGTCCATATTTCTTCTTGCGTGTAGTTACTAACTATACGCAATTTCGCAGTTATTATATTTTGCAATCATATCATGTTAACGATCAAATCATATTAGCAATCAAGTACAGGATGTACGAAAGAAATCTCGCGCGAAGAAGA